GCATCATCTGAAAATGGCTGATGATGGCTGCAGGGCGCCCAAAGTCCGCAGGTGCTCGCCTGCTGTGCGGGGCCGCTCGGTGCCGTGAGGCTTGCGCCGCGGCCGGAACTGAGGACCTCGCGCTTGGTTTCTGAACCCCAACATTGCTGAATTCGCGCCAGTCTAAACTGCCCAAGTTGTTGAGCAACAACCCCGAAAACACGAAAGCCTAAAGGGTCTAAAGTCTAAAGCCTACTGCGTCTACAGTGTGGGGAGCTGCCGTTCTTTGAGCCTCTCAGGTCCCGGCTGCAGCTGCCTCCAACTTTGGTCCCTCGGAGTCGAGGTAGAGGGCTCCCACGGCCTCGACGCAAGCCGGCAACACTGAAAGCCTACACCGCAGAATGCCGCAGATCTTTTGTTGCGCCGGGCCGCCTCCGCCCGACCGTACCCATCTGCGCTGGCATCGAAGCTGCGACAGCGGCCGCAGCAGGAAAGGAGCCCTGGCCCCCACGACTCTAACATCCTGAACCGCAGAAACTTCCGAACAATCCTGGGCCTTAAAACCGCCAGCCTCATACCAAACATTACCTAGCCGAAACCCGACCCGAAAGCAGACTCCGAAACACACTTCCATCTGATGCAAGCAAGGAGTCGATGGGTTGGGACAGTTGGGGACTTGCGCTTCTTTGTTGGGTCGATGTCCTGAGCCGCTGTAGTAGCCGAAGATCGCAGGGTGCAGCAATAGGTTGACCGCTGCGGCCAGTGCCGGCAAGCCTCCTGAAGCAGATCCCTGAAATCAAAGCTTCCTCAACCCCCCAAATCCTAACATGTCCGAAGCCCTAAACCCCAAAACACTAAACACCCTCCCTTACCCCTGAAGCCTAAACCTCAACCCTGGAACCCGAAAACGTCAGGCGTCGGCGGCACAATCCGACCAAACAGCTGAAACCCCGAGACCAGGCATCCAAAAAACCAAAGACAAAACAAGAAAAGCACACACACACACACACTCACAACAAAAGAATAGAGAAGCCACGAAACCCTCCAAAAACCCTCAGCAAAAAAATATTGCCAAGAAACAGCAGCCCCGACGCACAGCGCAAAACCCTAAACCCCCAACCCCCAAACCGCATGGAACGGATCAAACCTCCCTAAACCCTAAACCCTAAACCCCGAAAGCCCACCTCCCGAGGCCAGCTTCCCAGCCAGCCACACGGCCACCAGCGCTGAGGAGCAGGCGGTGTCCAGGGACAAGCTGGGCCCCTGGAGATCGAAGCCTCTTTAGGGGGTTTAGGGTTTAGGGTTTAGGGCAAGTTTAGGGTTTAGGGCTAGGGTTTAGGGTTTAGGGTTTGGGGCGTAGGGTTTGTTTGGCGTTTAGGATTTAGGGGTTCATGGATTGCTTGACTTTTCGAGAAGCAGTACATCATCCCTTCGTTTTAGATGCTATGACAACGCACCGCGCTCCTGCCAACCCCACGTACCTTCACTTCAAACAGGTTATTTATGGACATCTGAGTTGAAGGGGTCTGGCGTTTAGGACGTTGATGATGTTGATGGGCTTGCTGGGCTTGAGGTTCAGGAGTTTAGCCACCACACTGGTCAACACCACCCTGCCCCCTAGGACTCCTCGAAAGAGCAGCTTCAGCCCAAATGCCCAAAGCATGTGTTCTTCTAAAGCAGGGTCCTCCTTACAGAATTCCTGTCTATGATTCTTTGAGAAGAGGTCCGAGATGAGGAGCTGCAACTCAGAACAACCCCTACCCCCACCTTCCATGTAGCAAAGTACGAGTACGAGTGGGCAACTGGGGACCAAGCTGAAAGACACTCGATTCGCCGCAATGCAGGCACCTCGCCCGCAGGCTTCAAGCTTGAAGGCTTGCGGGTTTTACATGCCATGATGCACTCTGACCTCTTGGGGGGGTCACCCTTTGACAGTCAGCAAGTGTAAAGAGAAAGCTTCACTTCTAGTGCAGCCATAGCACAAACCCCAGCACCCACATGAGAAGTCGGACCGCGATTGGACTCCATGAGCAGGGACCAGTCATTCTGAAACTGCGCGACGACCACTGCGCACTGGTCAACCTGGCTAACGCGCGCTCCAGAACGCGCCGGCAGCACTTCGGCCGCACACTCCAATACCAGACGTTGACCCGGGTCTATGACTGCGGCTTCGGCAAAGCTCATTTCGAAGTGGGCTGCATCGAAAAGGCCGATCTCTGTCAAAAAGGATCCATGGCGAGTCACAGACAGGCTGCTCTGAGCATCCTGGCAATATTCATTCACATCCCACCTTGCCAACGGCGTTTCTATAGCTGCATCACAGCCGATGACGGCCGTGTGCAGGAACTGCTGACGCTGACTGCCATCCGCCAGACTTGTTGTGATGCGTTGCACACCAACTCGCCGAAACAAGGGGTTCTTCGAGCTCTTGGCTCCTGTCTCGCGAGACGGCAACTCCTGGAACAAGGCCGGGTGAGGTGAGAGACTGTGCGCACAGTCTCTCAAGAACTCCGTCAGCTTTCGCAGCGTGGGGTAGTCAAAGAGGAGGCTCAAGGGAACTCGGCTTTTGGGTAGATGCAGGTCCTGCAAGGCCAACCAGAGCCAGACTGAGACTAAGACACTCACAGCACACCGCTGCACTGATCTGCAACACCTGCTCAACCCGCACCTTCAGCAAGATGTCACGGAGAGTACCAGCACCAGCAGACGTCAGTCCAATCTGCTCAGCGTTGAAGATTTGCAGGCATTTGGGCAACCGCCGGAAAATTCCAAGTGTGACCGCTGGGAGCTTGGAGTTCTCAGCGTGCCTGCTACCTCGCCTTACCTCACCTACCTACAATGACCTACAAGCCAAGGAGATGCCGACCTGCGCGAAGGGCACATCCTCCTGGCAACAACGTCCCAAGGAGGAGCTTTGGACACGGAACATTCATAACTGATTCAGAATCATTCACTGACATGATCCATGACTTGAACGACTGCTCTCCTCAACCTCCTCTTCCGGCACACCCAAGCCCTCGGAGATGCATTGCCGGATCAAGAGCTGCCATTCCTTGCTTTGGCTTCGGTTTTCGAAGTTAGGGTTGACGGGTTCAAGGGATCGATTCTGCAAACACATGTCACATTGACATGTCTCTCTCCTGGCTTCAGCATACAAGCATGCCTTCCGCCAACTGGCAGACGGCTTCTGTCAAAGAAGCTCGTCGCCCAAAGAAGAAACTGTGCAAGCGCAGACAGGCTGCAGTCGTGGATGAACTTGCATCCATTCACCATGCCTTCTCTCATCGCAGCCTGCCGTACGGCACGGGTGTGGTCTCCCTGGAAAACTACTGAACTTGGCCATTGCCACGACGTGGTTGCGTGAAATGGCGAAGACGTGAGAATCTGGACTCCAGCAACTGTGGAAGTCCCCTGACAAATTGCCAGCATTTCACTATATGCCCGTGCGCCTCTGGTTCAAGATCACATCCGCGCCACTCACATGGTAAGTAAGGATGTTTCTCTATCGTTGCCTCTGGCCACTAGACTCTTGAATGAGATGGTCTGGCTCGCCTCATGCAGAAAAACTGTGTCATGAACTGGTCTGAAAGCAAATGCACGCATGGCGAACTTGAAACAGCTGCGTCATTAAGCGCAACACCTCTGCAAGTAGAGTGCAACTGAGCAACTACTCTTGTTGAACACCAGACTTCACCTTCGAGCCTCCCCACTAGAGCCCCCCCTATAGACCTCAACTACGAAGCAGGTTCCTTCGACTTTTGTCCGATTCACCGGGTTGGGTCGCGGCCTCAGTTCTAGGCTGTCCACGCCCACTGACCTGCAGCATCGGAGCAAATGTCCTGGCTAGGGTCTTCCTGGCAACTCCTTCGGCCTCTTCGGCAGCGTCTCTCACCAGACCCGGAAGCCTCAGGTGGCATCTGAGTCTCAATAGTCTCCTTTCACCTTTTTCCCTTGCAACTGCAGCTGTGCCACGCTGAAAGCCAGAAGTCCTGCAAGGCTTTTCTAAGGGGCAGAGTTGTGTTGTGGGGTTACTCCATAAATTGTGAGTGATGGGGGACAATCCTGGAGAAAGAAAAAAAACAAATGGCCCCTGCAGAATTCGAGCGCCATCCTCTGCCCAAATATTGTGAAAAAGATGCCCACAAAGCTGTCGAAACCAAGCCTATTCTGTCAGCGCGTGCAAATCATCTCAAGTCAGAAGAACGGCTTCCTCGGCCTTCTCGCGTGCGGCTTTGTTCCAAGCGGACCTCGGACACTGGAGGCGTTTGGCGAAGAGGGGTCATGCTTTGGGTCCGCCAATGCCCCTCCCCCTCTGATTTGCAAAGCCGAGGGGTCTTCTGGGTTTTGGACTCAGGGCTGAGGAGTCCGAAGTGTCGCACCACTCTTCCAGCAATCTTGTCGCACTCCCACCCACCAAAGCTCCGCACCCTGAACTGCAGATCCCAGTTCAAACAAAACCATAACCACTGAAGCCTTCCGAAACCCCAGAGCACAGGGACACCGGGTGCTGCGCATGCTGTGCGAGATGGCAGCAAAGTCAAGGGATCGGGCCTCTGAAAGAAGGTGTCTTCGGGGCTGTTTGGGGCTGTTTAGGGGCTGTTTAGGGGCTGTTTAGGGGCTGTTTAGGGGCTGTTTAGGAGGGCGTGGTGTTCACACGGGATCAAGGCACCCTGCAAGAGCTCTTAAGAGGCTAGAGAGGGGGATACCTCCCGCTACCGCCTGGCTCTTGCCATCTCTCGTGTCCCCATGCCTCTGTTTCCCAAGGCCTGGCCTTGAGCAGCAAGTCGGGAACGCCACGAAAATGCTGGACCTGAGCAAGTTCGATCGCTCTTTTGAAGCCATCTGTGAGCCTGACGGAGGCCAACTCAAGCCCGGGCTGTCCATTTTTCCAGTTCGTGAGTGCGGTACAGGCATGCAGGTATTATGATGAGTCAACTACCCATCCCGACAAAAATGGTGCGTTCTCGCGGAAAATCCTTTTGGAAAAGCTCCTAGCTTTACAGGTGTGTCGCCGAAGAGACTCATGTGCTTCCAAGCTGAGACTCAATCGTCGAGTAGTCGCACAAGTAATTCTGAAACTCCTCGAAGCTCACGTGACCATCAGCATTGGTAACAATGGCCTGCCGGCACATGTCGAAAAGCTCGTTGGAAAGGTCACGGTGACCACAGTGCTTCTCCAGCAAGTCCTCCAAAAAGAGCCGGAGTTCCTGCAAGTCCAAGTAGTTGCTGTCATCCCGATCCTTTGCTCTCTCTTTGGCTCAAATACAAAAAAAGGACACCTCGAAGTTGGAAGTTGGGCTCTGGCACCCTGCTAAGCTGCTAAACTAAAAAGAAGTATGCGGGGGAGCGTCATAGCGTCGCCACAACTCCTTGCAGTCCTCATCTGAGAGACTTTTGAGCCTGAGCTGTCTGCAAACTCCTAGGCCTACACATTGTGAATCTCCGTAAGCCTGCTTGCATCAGGAGCCCAGAATGAAGAGCTTTCAAAAACTCTGCAGAACTCCCAAAGGCACCCGAGGAGCTTGTACTGACTGAGGAACTGCTCACTACTGAGAGATCTCGCAGCGACACTCAGGTACGCTGTAGATTGCATCTCCGTCAATCGGCTGACCTCAGCGTCAGTGTCCTAACTCACCCTGAAGAAGTACTGGTACCGCCTAAGATCTGTCAGAAAAGTTTGGCAAGAACGTCCTGAAGCTCCTTTGCAAGAAACTGTACGATCCCATGCGAAAATCTCGTCTGCGATGGAAGTCTTACGCTCCTCTGGAGACACGTAGAACAGCTGTATAGGGTCGAGCTCGGCCGTGCAAACAACTTTAGTGTGACACTCATATAGCGCATCGATGAGTGTGATGAAGCGGCGCACTTGATCACGCTCTTGCATGGTGAGCCGCGGGATGTTCGAAATGAATACAGTATGAAAGGCATTTCCTATGGCCAGGTAATCTGCCGCCCCCAGTGCCTGGTCGCAGAGGTCGGAAAATGCGAACCAAGCAATACCTGAATTCTCAGCACAGCGTGGGACGTTGACCTTCCGGCCTTGTGTCTCTACCAATGCATCTGTACGATAATGGCCATGACAAACCTTCTCAAACTTGGCCTCCAAGAGCTTTTGCTCATGTGGCCCATTGGGGGTGATGAAGACTCGATGGTCCTCCTCCTGTGTGGAAATCATTCGATAGTCGACCTCTTCGCCAATGTCGTGCACTTTGCAAAAGTCCTCGAGCATGGGAATGAAGGGTAAGAATAAGGGGCGGTTCAAGCCATTCAGGTACAAGTCCTGTGGCGGACGGTTGGAGGTGGCCACAACCACTGCCCCCAGCTCGAAGAGTACGGAGAAAATGCGCTTCATGATGATGGCATCGCTGATGTGGGTGACCTGAAACTCGTCGAAGCATAAGAGCCAGCCCTCCTTCATCATGTCGCTGGCAACCTGCTCAACTAAATCATCGGCGGTGTTCTGCGTGTTCATGCTGCTCCCTTTCTGCTTCTTGTGTAGCCTCGAATGGACATCAATCATCCACTCGTGAAAATGAATACGCTGCTTTTCCTTGATCTTGATCTTGTCATAGAACATGTTCATCATGAACGTCTTGCCAGTGCCGGTGCCCCCCCACAGGTACAGTCCCCTCTGTCCTGGGGCAGGCTTCAGTGGCACCTCAGACTTTGGCGGTGCCTTGGCCGCTTTTGGCTTGTTTCCAAAGATGCCTCCCATCCAGCCTCAGATTCGGTGCCCTTTAGGCCCTCAGGGAAAAAGGACTCTTCAGGTTCTAAGAGGCTTCGAGACACACGAGTACAATCAGGAAAAGCCGTACCTCAGTTACGACCCAAAATGCCGCCGGCAGCAGGAGCGGCGACGGTGGCGGGGCTAGGAGTCTTTGCCTTGGTCAGTGCACTAAGTGGAAAGTTCAGATTGAGGCATTCAAGACCGAAGGACAAATCCCCAAGCACGCTAAGTAGACACTAAATACATCTAAATACGCCTGCTAGCTGCGGCTCTGGTCATCTTTGGGTTGTAGCTCATGAGATCCTTCGCCAGATCGTCGAGCATCTTCATGCATATTTCTTGGCGAGGGTCTTCTTGAAGCTCACCAGCTGCCTTCAGCTGGAGATAATGCTCCAAGCACCCCCCCGGCATGGCCGAACTCCACCGCTTCTGTCCAGGCATGACGACATGACGGGCGACACCCACGGGTGGCCCGAGGAGAACACGGCCCAAGCCGGTGACTCCGCGGAATCCCCTGGACGCGGTGGGCAGCCGGGCTGCCACCAAAAGAGCGCGAGTTGAGGTCCGGGCCCGCAGCATCCTGTGCTGTCCCAACTTGCTGCTTGGGCCCGGCAACGCTCTGGGAAAGCAAACCTGTTGCCAAGCATCTGCAACACAGAGCCCTTTAGCCCTTTGAGTACTGCGCTACACACGTACTGAAAGCAGTGTGCCAGCACAGGCCATCATCTAGAAAACAACGACGCGATGAGATCACAGAAGAGCCTATAGTGATGACAGGAACCATGAAGCAGCATGAAGCAGCAGGACTTTCCCGTCATCAAGCTTCCCACAAAGGGCCAGTTGAGGTATTCAAGCCACTCGGCCCAGTACATGTTGGAAAGGACCTTGATGGATGGCATGATGCTTGAGTGGTCTAGAGACGTACAGTACACTCAACGCATGGACAAACCACAGATGCTCTCAACATCTCTCAATCTTCATGCTAACTCTGTCCCTAGCAATGTCAGTGGTAGATGGTACGAACCGGGGGCCCCGCGTACTCGCCGGACCAGTGGTCCTCACTGAGTCAACCCGAAACTGCACAGAGAGGGCTCTGACAAAGTGAGATGTTATGAGTACCGGCTTACACGAAGAATTCGACAAACTTCTTTTTGCCTGAGGATACGCACGCGCAACATGTGATGGCCAGCATGGTCAGAGACCCTCTGCAAGGCATAGGGCTTGAGGATACGGGAACAAGACCTACAGAGGGTTTCAGATGTGCTGCATGGCGAGACCGTTCAGAGGTCCTTCGGAGGAAAGGGTGCGTAGGGATGGCTCTGAGTCCAGAACCTGCGACTGTTCACAGTTCGCCATTCAAGTACCGCTCCAGTGTCTGTGTTATCTTCAGGTCAGACCACACACACACACACACGACATGCCAACACATCCCAACAGTCCAGGCAACTCTCTCTTCGGCATCCAGTTGTGCGGCGGTATCAGCTTCCTTAGCAGTTTGGTTATAAAACGAATCTGATCTCTGAGGCCTTGAGCTCTCCATCGGTATCTGTCGCAAAGCATAAATCAAGCTTGCAGTCTCTCAACTGTCACATGTTGGACCCATAGCTGCCAGACGAGGGGCAAGTCGTTCCAAAGGCGGGCGTGCCAGTATCGAGAATGGGCCAACAAGTCCTGTGAGCATGTTTGGGACTAAGGTGGGTCCAGCCCGCGCTTTGCGGCTTGCAACCGACGCAAGGGTAAGGAATCCCGAAAATATGCCCAAAGGGCAGCAACCATCAGCAAACGAAAGACCATGACCAACCCCCACCGTCCTAAGCCCCTAAAGCCCAACTGAGCCTGAAAAAGGCATTGCAGTCTTCGGAAACGGGATGCGGGACCTGAGCTTGGGTTGGGAACCTTGGAATACCTTGGATCAGACCCCACCCTGGCTAAAGGTCGGCCTCTTTGTGCGGCACCAAGAGCGGCATGTCCTCAAATTCGTGCACTAAGCCACTACGCAGAGTGGTGCTGAGTTCAGAAAGGCTCCGGCGCAATGCAATCAATCTTGGATTGAGTTTTTGGGGTTCGCCCTCGCAATCCAACGCGCTATATACTTTCTTCAAGTATCTGACCACTCAGTACCTACACACAGGGCACCAAACAGAGCGCCCATTCATCTGTGCCACATGCCCTCGTCTCCAAGTCCCATGAAGAATCTCAAGGCAATCTTGGGCTCCGACCATGTTATAGAACTCGCGCCACTGCATCAGCACCCAACCTTGCCAACATTTAAGGGGAAGAGCCGTGCAAAGCACTGTGAGATGCCTGAAAGAGTGTCACGTGAGCAACCAACATCTGGCAAGCAAGCCCTGAGCAGGCCGAGGGAGTCGTGGGCTTACAAGCTCTGCATGGTTTAAGGATTAGGGTTCAGGGTTTCGGGGCCCTGAACCCACCAAACTGCAATCAAAGGAGCTGTGCGGACCAGGAAGGTACGCAATGGCCTTGAAACCCGCGTAGGTCTTGAAGCCTCAAGATGCAGCGCAAAAAGCAGGCAGCTCGCTAAGTTTGCTTGAGAGAGTCTTGCAAGGTTGGGATTCCTGCAAATCTACTGGGACAAACGCTTGCAGGCGCAGCATCCTCATCCTCATCGCCGTCATCGAACATTCTCCGGAGGGGTGCTGGCAGTCCAGAACGCGACTTTCCCCAGTTTTCCAAGCCACGATACGCCGTGGACATAGGAACAAGTGAAGAGCAAGAAGCGCTGTGTTTCGTCTGTGGAATGGAAAAGTGGAGCATGTGCAGGCGATGGTATGCATTCGCTGGACATGTCCATCAAGACTCAGCTCATGGAAACACCAGAAGGACAGTTGCGAGGAGACTCCAACCACGCGATCCCTGTGACTCTTCACGACTTCGAGCATGCCGCGATCACAACAGACCCTTCAAGACTTTAAACCGACGGAAACACGACACGCCGGGAATCCGCTGAGCTAATCAGGGGAGCATCCATGACACAGTGGAGACTCCCTTCTCACCGCTTTCGCGAATCATCCAGCTACTGCACGCAACCTGTGCCAGTGCCAGTGCGCACGGCCACTCGCCCGCCCGAAGGACTTCCTAGACAATCCTCTACAGCCAATGCATTCTTCGAGCTCTTGAACCCTGGGCCCAAAGAAATGAAGGGAGGGCTTCTTAACAAACTAGGACTAGGATGTAGACTCAGGTGCAGGTGGCTGTGCGTTCGCTCAATCTCAACGTTACGGGAACACACAGAGCAGTTTACATCCCATCCCTGGGGTCCGGGCTCAAGAAGGAATTCTGGATGACGAACTCTGTCTTGGAACCTGAGTCAAGTTCGCGCTCGAAGGAACTGAGGGTTGAAGAACTGTGAGGAATTATATCATGTATTGAGTCTGTTTAATCCTCCCTTGCGTTCTGTATAAACAAGATGAAACATAACTCCTAAGGACGATGGCTCGGGAGGCGTTTCTCTCTCAAACACATAACGGAATCAAACTCTGAGAACGATCTTCTCTCAAGAGTTGAGATGTTCTCCTCCCACCCACTGGCTTCTTCCCATGCTTTCCGGTTTGCATACTCGAGGCCTGGGGCCGCCGGAACCCTAAACCCTAGACCCTAAACCCTAAACCCTAAACCCTGAACCCTGAACCCCCCACCACAGATTCTTGGCGTCCAGGCTTAGAGTTCTCAACTTCTCAACTTCTCAACCTTGCCAGTGCTTGCCAAGCATCCTTTCCCAGCAAAGGACAGAAGCAGGTGGTACATCCACTCCTTACGTGGCACGCGCTCATGGCTGGCTTCGGGTCGCGGGGGGTCCCTGTTTCCGAGTCGGGGAACCGCTTAAACCCCACTCAGCTTTGCACTCAGCTTTGCGCATGTCTTTCCCCACAGCCGCTGTGACATTCGTGTTGACATTGGTATCACCGTGGGGGCGTAAAATTGGTACCAGACTGCTTTCTTTTGATCTTGGCGGCATTTCTGAAATTCACGTGGTTCTGGCCACTGGGCTTGCCACAGTATCGGCTCCTCATACCCCCACTGAAATGACAAGGCTCTGAGCCCGACGACGAAGATCCAGAGTTGGACTTCGGGACGAGGATCCGATCCTGTCGGCTCTTGGGCTTTGGGAGGGTTTGAGGGTTTCGGGCGGCTCCCAGGTCAATTCCTGGCTCAGAAACATCAGACCTCGGACTGCCCTTCTTTGACCCCGAACTGCACGCGAACCAAAGTTCAGAGCTGGCAACCGCAACCAGCACATAAACAGCAACTGAATTCCACTTGGTGCGGCCTGTTGGGGCGCATACTTGGTGTCAGCAAGGTAGGCGGCCTCTGAGAAAGACCAGATATTCAGAGGGTTCAGAAAGTATGCAAGTGGGGACGGTGGAGCTTTTGGTAGTATATGACAGCCGAAGCCTGCTTCCGGAACTATGCAATGCTCTCTTCATAGGTCCGTCAAAACATGTCAGGAGTGTAGAGGTGGCTTCCAACAGAACCACACACCTCGCTAGCCAGTTGTTCATCAAAGCCCACGCAACCTGGGGATCACAAGCAGCACACGCGCCAACATCAGCCAATCGACTGCAGCCAGGGCACAAGGGGCCTGTAGACGGGGTGGCGCCACCCCGTGTGGCCATGCAGAACTTCGGAGGTGTATGGGGCATCGACCCTTGGAAGCAGGCACACAAGGACCATCTTGATGCAGGGACTTCTTGGCCCGACTGTTGCGCGTCCATGGTAAATCTAGAGCTGGCTGATGAAGAGTTCAGGGTTTCAGGACCTGGGGCCGAGGATGCTCAAAAACCTCAAGCCCCGAAACTTTGTCGTCTCGGCTTCTGCCTTCAGGCCGAGACACAGCAGCATCGCGTGCACGTGGCTCCCTTCGTTCCCACCCACATACCTCACAAAGGCGAATGGTTTCGACGCCCTCTTACAAGCAAGGTGGCCTAGGACTGGTCTTAAACATTTCTCAACACTTCTGGCACCTCAACTCGCGAACTCTGAACTGCGGCGGAGCTACCTCCACATGGCTTCCAATTCCTCCGAGCATGGCAAAGAACACCTTTTGACCCCTAAACTCACAGCTCTGAGTTGTCTACAACTCCAAATCCGCAATTTGCACCTCCGCCAGTCCTCGTGAACCGTTCTGTGGCCACCACCTTCAGCTCAGTTCCGCCCTTCTGCTCTCAAGCCCGCCTTGTAAGCCCACATAAAAGTTCTACCCCAGGTCGCACTGGGCTTGGGCCACTTGTCCAGAGCTTCGGGAGCATGGCGCATGGGGAACGAGGTTCCTTACCCGGCCAAACACATCCGCGGGACGTATGAAGAAGTCATTGGCAGGAAAGCCGACGTAGTACGAGATCAGCGGAAGCCTCTGGGCAGGTTGCAAGTCCCAGGACGCAGGGCTCCAGTTGTGGAACGCGCGGGGTCCAAGCCCTGAACTGCCACAACATGCAAACCCCATATCCGGGTTTCCACCGCAGTCGAGGAAACAAGTCCCAGTTTCCCATCTCTCTCTGCCTGTTGCCTACGCAAATAGCTGGCAACCGCTGAGTGACCGGCGAGACGGGACATTAAGTCCAAAGCACCACGCACGGAATTGGAATACAAAAAGACCGGGTCAGAAAAGCAGCAAAGACTGAGTATGTTAGGAAATGGCACGTCAATTCCCGTCGCAACCTCTGCATGTTCCCCAGAGCTGAAGCATCATCACTTCCCGACCTCTCATCCAAAAGACTCTTGCAATCCGAAGCCCCATATCGCAACACAACACGAGAACCGCCCCCTTGGCCCCGAAGCGACAGGTGCAGAGGAGAGCCGTGCCTCCATCCAGTCCATCGCTCCAATCTCTCACAATGGCTGTAAAGGCCTTGTTTCTTATTGAGGGTTTTCACCCCCAGGGGTGTCCAGATGGTGTTAGGGCTATCGAGAGGGGCTCCCTTTTCCACAAAAAGCACCGTGTTCACATGTGCTCACTGCGCATTCAAAGCACACCCGGACCTAACTCCATCTACGCGCCTCCTCTGGGCAATGCTCGAGACTGAGACATGACACAGAAAGCTGGGAAATCGTTTCCTGTTCTTGAAGAAGATCTCAACTGTTTTGGAAGAACTTCCGGCTCTGGGGGCAGATGGGCGATGCTCTTCTCTTCGCGACCCCATGTCGAATCGACACGAACCTGACTCGAGGTAGCCTCAAGACGCGCATGCCGACACATCTTCCCGAACATGGAAGGACAACACTTCCATGGCTGCCGAGAGGCTGCAGAAAAGAAGATCGGCAGAAGGAGCGGTATCTGCACGTTGTGGCTAGCGGCTACTGGTTAACATCATGATGTTCCATGGTTCCTGGTTGGGCTTGTCAAACGTAGGGGGGTATAGGGGTGACTTCGAGAACTCTGGAGGACACGGGAAAAGACATTGTCTCTTTCTCTCTTTCTTCTTCTTCTTCTTCTTCTTCTTCTTCTTCTTCTTCTTCTTCTTCTTCTTCTTCTTCTTCTACGGGGCTTGAGGGTAGAGGTCCCCCCCCCCGCGCGCGAGGCGCGCCTAGATTGCGTTCAGGTTCCATGTGAGACTTCCCGACCGAGACTGTCTCTCTTTCTCTCTTTCTCTCTTTCTCTCTTTTTCTCTTTCTTGCATTCTTCATTCATGGGGCCTGAGGGGCGGTGCCCCCCGAGCAGTTCGCGCGCCCCCACTTGTTGTGGAGACTGTTTGGAGTGGGGGGGGGGAAGATGCTGTGCCTCCCTCTATTTCTCACTTTCTCTCTTTCTCTGTTTCTCTGTTTCTCTCTTTCTCTGTTTCTCTGTTTCTCTGTTTCTCTGTTTCTCTGTTTCTCTGTTTCTCTGTTTCTCTGTTTCTGTCTTTCTCTCTTTCTCTCTTTCTCTCTTTCTCTCTTTCTCTCTTTCTCTCTTTCTCTCTTTCTCTCTTTCTCTCTTTCTCTCTTTCTCTCTTCTTCTTCTTCTTCTACTACTACGGGGCTTGAGGGGAGTGACCTACCTCTCTCTCTCTCTCTCTCTCTTTGTCGTTTGTGCACATCTGCTATTAAGAGAGCGCATGTACAAAGAACGAAGATACTTGTACACAGAGCATATCTGGCTAACATCCGGTCTATATCTGGTTCCAAGGCCCGGCCCCCAGAGTGCCTGCTTTGTCGAAGACGACCTTCGGCCAAAGCTTGTAAACTTCTCAAAGGCACTTCAACGGCCTTTTAAGTGCAGACTGCTGAGTAATCAAAACTGTAGTAGCCCGTACACCCCATCTCAACCTCACAAGCATGCATGCTTCGGTTTCGAACTGTATCGTGTTCGATGACTAACGATAATTCGTACAGCAGGATACTCACTCAGGCCCCTTTCTCAACCAGCAGCCAACAGGTCTTCAGCGGTTCTGCAGAGTGACTGCGCCCAAGCCCGTAAATCAATACGTTCTCCGCGGGTTCTGTGCCAACAACGTAAATATGCAAGGAGACCATCACAAAATCACAAAATGTCACACAAAGAAGATGCTGACTTCAGCTTCGCAGCAGCAGCGTTTGGCGTCGCACACAGGGCCGGCCACTGGCCACAAACATGCTCCAGCATCCGGCCGCCTCCAAGGAGCCGGGCTGATAATCCCAGGTTTAGGGCTGATTCTGCTTCATGTGTCACCCCCTAAGCCCCTACAGAGGTCCTGTGTAATGAGAGCCCACGTCCAGAAAGGCAAAAGTGACCCGCAGTTGTCCTGAAGAAAGTCCTTAGCATTGCATGGCTTAGTCCGGAGGACACAGTGCAGGTCATCAGAGCTTCAAGCGGGGAGCCAAACGTAACCTTATGTGTATATATATATACATACATGTACTATACGCTATGTGTCTATCTCTAAGCCGTAGACAAACATATGTCGAAAGCATATAAGCTACATTATCAGCTGCATGCCGTACATCTCACACCTTCAGGGTGACCCACTCAACCTCAAGCTACCGTCTTCAGCATCCTCATTGTTGTGGTGCAAGCCACCAGCATATTGCCGTTTCAGGGTGTTAAGATGATTGGACCGGCCCCTAAGAATCCGAGCTGTGCAGCAAATAGGTTCGTCAAAGGCAATCCCCAACATGCTACAAGGTTAAAACATAATAAACTCTTGCGGGCCTGGGCCATTGATCGCAGCATTCCGTTCAGGGAGCGGAGGTCACTCTGCAACCGAGCAGCCCAAGAGAAATGATGGGATCTCGATCTTGGAAGGTACAAAGAATTGAGCGCGGAGGGCTTGCAAGCCGACAGGGCTTGCCGTGAGGCATCCAATGAAAATGGAAGGTGGGCGCTGTGCAAAACCATCTCCGGAACCATCCCACGCGCTTCGATTCTCTAAATCCTTCGACAACAGTGGGGGTCTTGACTTCATGCCGCTAGGTTTGATCTGAGCGCCTAACATCCGCCGCTGGGTGGTACACCATGCTCACGGCCTCTGCTCAGCTCTGGGATTCTCAAAGTTTCTGGGGTCATGGGTGTTTGGACTTGGGGGCGAGTTGAACCTTGCCGTGCAAATGTGCAACCCACATCGAGCCTCATACCCAAAGAAGAAGCCTTTGCTGAATATCGAAACGAATCCTTCGAGTGATGGGATCACCAATCATCAAGACACTACCCGGTCATAGGACATCTCATGATACTTGCCGTTCTGGCACGCGAACTTCCTGGAAGCCAAGTTCTTTATGCCGGGCCACGTGAATGAATCGCTTGGGTTCAGTTGGCGACCAGGCGTGCCAATCCTGCCATGGGCCTTCGATGGGAGCTTCCCAAGCCATGGCGAGCGTTCAACATGCATTCTGTCAGAATATTGTGAGATTGTGAGTTCAGATTTAAAATTTTCGATTGAGGGGGGAAGTTGCACCTAATGAGGGTGTTGAGTCAGAAGCAAGTGCACAATCGGGCATAATCAGCAAACGAGTGACAAGACCCGAAGCGCACTTGCAAACGCGCACGCAACCCCTTTCTGAAGTAATTGGTTCAACCCTACGCTGCGGTTATGCAGCTCACAGTGAAATAGCTTCGCAGAGAGCCAGACTGTCCTGGCCAATACTACGACTATACACGGAGGGCGGCGCCGAAGTGCAGCGCCAGGGCAACATGCTAAACTGCCTCCGACACCCGTTGATGCGGGATGCGTCCACCCCGACAACACGGCAGAGGGCATGGTCGGCCGTAGGGCGAGGCCCCCGACACCTGCATGAGTCTCCGGCGTCCCGCGAGAACTCAAGCACCACGCATGCCGAAGGGCCGTAACACGACGTGAGCAGAGCTTGACAGACCCAAGCGGAGGCCAGGCAGGTGTGCGAGAAGGGGAGGAAGCTTTGCGAGCAAGGTTTCCAGTGGCTGGCCGGCTAGGCAGCGACTTCACTCCTGCGTCTCAGAGCAGCTCTGGCCCGGAAGCCGCGCACGAGGTTTCAGCGATGGTCATGGGGGGTAACGAGTGAGTCCACGGTCCGCAGAAACACTGGTCAGATCTTCATGACTGTTCCGCCACGAACCGACTCTCTCCCCCCTCCCGTCCCATGTGTAGGGTGCCTTGAACAAGGGTTCACAGCGAGTACAAGGCAGTCAACATGCATGTGGACATGAAATACTGAATAAAAAAGGGAGAAAACGAAGAGAAACCATGTCGACCTTTTATTGTAAAAAAATCATCGACACAATTTTTCCCCTGCTCCGACGGAATCAACTCCGCAAGATGTGCCGCACAAGCTCTGCCAGCCTGGCAACCTCCCCCCCCCCCGACCGGGGGGGACCCCCCCTCAGTGTCCTGATCTCAATCTTATTCAGAAGTCAGAAGGTGCCCTCCGCTAGCGGACATCCTTAGGCACCTGGACATGTCCCACATGAAACTCTCGACACCCTAAACCCGAGTTCCCATTTCCTGCCTGGGTACAGCAAGGGCTCCTGGAGCCTCGAGGGCAGCGCCTCCCAGCACTTCCCTCTTCAACTCACGGGCGAAGGGGTTCTTTCGGGGCTCAAGGTTCACGGATTGGGGTCTGGAGTCAATCCGTTCTGTAGGGAAGTGAAACAGCTCATGTTTCTAATCAGCACATGAGTAGGGTTTCAGGTGTTCTGGTCCGCCGATGGAGTCCACACAGTCCGCAGCTTTTCAGGACTTAGGGGGAGGTTCCTGCCTCCGCCGAAAGGGTCCTGATGTAGTCAGGACGTCCCCGGCCCAGGTTCAGCGCCTCTGGGTTCAGGAGTCACGTTGGAACTGGCACGGCCGTCCCTGCATTCCAGGGGGGATCTCTAGCATAAGATCCTCTGCATCAATCGTCCAAGGGCATGGCGGCGAATGGTTACAACCTTCTGACACACGAAGTGCTAAACGCGCTTCTTCCTACGTTTTTAGACGCTGACACAGGCCTGCTCTGTGATTGTAGCATCAGTCGTCAGTTCATCTTTTCGTGCGGACCCTGCAGTAGAAACTACGTCTTCGGGATCGGGAATGAAGGTGTCGAAATGTGCCGAAGGTGCCAAGTCCCAGTAGCTGATTGGCCAGGACGAGGACGAAGAGATGTCCAGATCCTGTTGTCATTGTTCATTGCCAAAAAACTCGATCCTTTCCTTGAAGCTCTGAGATCTTTGCTCTTTGACTGCGTGCTTCCATATGTTTCCTGTTCTCTGGTTCGTTTTGGCTGATGTCAAAACGGAGCACAATTACTTCGCATCCAACTGGCCTTCTCATTTTGATTCCACATCCCTATTTTAATACCGCACCTAATGTTTAGGGCACCCCAAAAGGGATCATAATTTTGACAACCGCCCCCGTAAGGAACCCGACTTGGGGCCTGAGATCGACAGACCCCAAAAGCTAAGCGAAACCTCGCCTAGCCTGAACTCCTCCCTAGAACACCCCCTAGAACCCCCCTTAACCCCCTAAAACCCCCCTAAAACCCCCCTAAACCCCCCCTAAAACCCCTAAAACCCCCTAAAACCCCCTAAACCCCCCAAAAACCCCTTAACCCCCCCTAAAACCCCCCCTAAAACCCCCTAAAAGCCCCCCAAAACCTGATGCTCCCGGCACTCGGCCTGGTTGTTGCTGAAGAGCCGGAGGGCCGAGCGCAAGAGTCTGCGATCCTGGCTTTTCCATACAGGCCCACTTAACAGAGTCTTGAGAAACAACTGTAGGGGTTTAGGGTTTCGGGTTTAGGGTTTAGGTTTTAGGGTTTAGGGCTTAGGGTTTCGGGTGTTAGGGTCTTAAGGTTCTAAGGTTTTGGGTTTTTTTGGTTTTGGGGTTGAGGGTTTAGCGGTTTTAGGGTTTAGGGTCTCGGGTGAAGACCTTCACGTTCCAACTAAACTTGACGGGGATCTTGAAGAAAGCATTGCGGCCTGGGGCCCTCAGCCTACGCAGAGCCTCCAAAGCACCAGAGCCCCAAACTGCCGGTTGCGGCCAACCTTTTTACCGTTTGTTGCGAGGCTGCGTGGGTTTTCACGCGGTTTTGCGGGGTGAACAGAACGTACGAATATCCAGCAGACAATCCACGACATGCTACATGGCATGGTAGGGAGATGTCTTGGGCTCGTTGGGACCTCACCTGTCGCCCTTTCGCTGTGTCGCAGTCTCCATTTATCTCTTTCTTTCCTTCTTTATTTATGTCTTTCTTTCTTTCTTTCTTTATGTATGTCTTTCTTTATTTTCTTTATCTATGTGTTCTGTGTTTGCTTCTTTATTTCGTTCTTTCTTTCATTTTTTATGTCTTTCTTTGTTCTGTTCTTTCCTTCTGTATTTCTTTAATTAATTCGTTATTTCTTTCGTTCTTTGGTTCTCTTTCTTTCGTTCTTTTTTGTTTATACTTATTTATCTATTTATTTCTGTCTTTCCTTCTTTCTTTTTGTATTAGTTTGTCGTTCTTTCTGTATTTCTTTATTCCTTTAGTTTTTCTTTCGTTGTCTTTCCTTATTTACTTCTTTCGCTCTTTCATGACTTGTTTACGTATTTCGCTCTTCGTGTATTTTAGTTTTTCACTATTTGCTCTGTATCCATGTGCATATTGTCTTTGTTTCTGTATTTTGGTGTTTTGACTTATTTCCTTCGTTGTTTCGTTTCTGCATGCATTATGTATTTCTTTCTTTGCTCGAAATTGGTTCCTTTCTTTATGTGGCTTCCTTATTCCTTTCCTTATGTATTTCTTTCTGTCTTTCTTTCGTTAGGGTGTCCGCAGTGTCTGGCTCTCCCCGAACTCGTCTGATCGTGGCTTGAGATTTCCCAAAAACCACAGTACTACATGCCGCCTCTCTCTTCCTCTTCCCCTTCCCATTCTTCATGTTGCTCTTCTTCTTCTTCCTTCTTCGATTTCGTGGAGCCAGCTTCAAGCAACGCAGCCATGCACGTCTCTCAGGGGCGTTGTCCCCTTGACAGCTTTCAGCCTCATGAGCCTTCGACCCAACAAGGTGTTTGAAAGCCGGCCGTTGGGTCAAGAGGGTAGTGAGCTCTAGGTTCTCCGAGGTTCAGCACATATACACTTCACTTAGGGCTTGCAGGTTTCCAAAGGACCTGATTCACCAGCGAGACCACGAAGGCAGCAGAGGCGTAGCCCAGCAAGCAGATGAGCCTGAGCTGAACTCCCAACCATGGACGACGACCTCACGAGAATCGGATGCAAGCGCGCGGTGGCTCAAGACTGCACTCCAAGGCCAATCCGAGACTTGGCGTCCGGAAGGAATCAACGAAGAATGACAACCAACCCCCCCCCTGCCCCCCACATCTTGCTTTGGAAGCGGCTCGGTGGGTTCGTGCACCCGCTTGTGCTCCCCGATGCCGAACCTCGAAACGGACTCCAAGAACTCCTGGGCTTCATAGGGTTCATGCGCTTCTGGAGATTTCGGAGCAGAATTTTAGGCATCTCGGAGCTTGTGCTACATTTGGGGCGTACTGTAGGCCTACAGTAGACGTTCTTCAATTTTGTTGTTGCATCGTTTCAGCTTTTGTCAGGCAGATTCGGGAAATACCCGCGGACCTTTGAGCTCAACAACACTGCCAACGGCGTCTGTGTGCAAGCAAGTGCCCTGGCCTTTTGAAGACAAAATGTGGCGATTGGCGCACTTGCCCAAAATGACTCCATTCGAGTAAACTCTTTCATCTCGGGCTTCGATGGCTTTGTAGCAACTATGTATTGCAGCACTAGTCTGGCAGTACTTCCTACATACCATCAGCTATCCTCCACTTCTCAACACGGTCAAGGCCAACGACAAAATCTTGCCCAAGTGCCAGCGGCATTCGGATTGAAGACTCCAAGGGTCGACGGCATAGGTGCCAGATATCGCGTTCTGGGTCGCAGTCGCTCGCACGCCTGAGGCGCATCTCGAATCCGAACTTGGCAAACAAGGCTCGGCTTAGATCGAGAATCCGGGACGGGCCTCCTGTACTCAGGTTGTACCTCCAGACCTCGGACAAGGCTTGAAGGCTTGAAGTGAGATAGAAACCGGAAGCAAACCAAGGTCAAGAGCAAAACACCTCCGACAAAAAATGATGACTACACGTGGCTACATAGACGCTCTAAAGCATCACGGGCAAGATGCACACGTTGCAAACTCTTCCCGAATCCTCCCCGCCTGCACGAAACGTAGCTCTTTGAGGGAGGGTTCCTCAACCCAGTAGCGATGCTTACATATGAACCCCAGACGAAATTCGCAGAGACCTTCGACCGACGCAAGTCTCGACTTCTTGGCAGATCCTACACCCTACCCCAGCACATGGCACCAAGCACAACTTGGGCTGCCCCTGCCGAGGCGCACGCAAGTGTTTACCATTACCTAGAAAGCCCTCTACAAAAGTTTCAGTAGGGGAAGACCGTGCCCCTACTCTCCCCTTAAGGGCATCGAATACAATCCCACCTCAACATGCTCCAGCAATCCGAGCCGGGCCGCGAGTTCGGCAGCTGTGGACAGGAGCTCCGCATCCCGTGGCGCCTTCAAAGTCGGTTCACGGCTTCGGGAACAGAAGGCCCCGAGGTTATGAGTTAGAAAGCTTTGGTTTCCTTGATCATCAGAGTTGATGGGAAAAGTATCACCATCACTCCACTGGCCAGGAACTTTCCATCCACCGGCTGAATGTATTCCATCTAGGGCAAGTTTTGCAGCTCTGGTACGTCTCCTGCATGAGGTCTGCGTTTAGCCGTTGACATGGAGCGTTAAGTCAACAGTGCCCAAACCAATCCTGAAGCCCGAACACATCTGAGCTCATTGTTCCCTGAGCTCCCCGGAGCACTACGAGCCCCACTGAACGCCCCTCGTGCTTAGCAGCTCCGCACGCTTGTTGGCGCTTGTTGACGCTTGGGACCAGGCCGTGAGATGTAGCGTCGCTGCTTGGTGGTCCTGGAGCAGGAGCCGAAGCCTCAAAAAAGAAGTCAGAAGTCGAGAGAGAGCTCAGGGTGGGATTTCGATGTTGGCTTCTTAGAATCTTGTGCCTTCGGCTGTCTCATTCTCATTATGCTTGTCATTGTGCTTCTATTTTCCACGGCTTGCTTGATCGCACAAGGAGGAAGCGACAGACAAAAACAATGTCCCAGCTACAGTTCCAATCGAACCCGTGTTGAAGGCAAAACGATGTGTTTCTTTACTCTTGCTGTCTCGCTCCTTCAAGGCGTTCGGTAGGTGTATATTCATGCCGGTAGCTCATGGTGGAGTTTGACGCCAGCTCCTACTTCTGTTGCTTCGCACAAAGGCAAAGCTTGTGGCAACTTGTGGTCTAAAAAGGTTCAGGGGCTGGCCGTCAACCTTGCAATCGCCCTGAAGGCCTTGTAGGTACCGCGAAGCCTTCGCTCTGATGCCCTGGCAAGCAGCAACTTCCACGCAGGCTGGTGCTCACAATTTATGAGCTCCAGCACCGTGGTGCGCATTTCGCCAAACCTCGTGGGAGCTTCCATGAGCGTCTAGACAGTCGACTTGAGTTTCAAGTGCCGAAGCTTCCTTGAATTCTCCAGCTTCGTTTGCGAGATAGGTCCTGGACGAATCTGGGAATATGTTTTTGCCACTTCTCTTTGGGCTTCCTTGATTCGCATGCAATGAATCCAATGCCGCGTTCTGAGCAAAGGTAAGCTAACAACAACTACTCTTGACAGATCTCGGTGTACTCTCACCTTTTGAACAGCTGGAAGAAAATGAAGGTGACTAAACAGATTCTCAAACGGTTTGCAAAACACTGTGGGTTCTCACCGTCCCAGCGACACAACTTTGAGGGGGATGAGGAGAGCGCCACCCCTCTTCCCCAAACTTTAGCGGGATTAGGAATGGGGAACGAGCAAACCCGGGGCCTTGGGTTTAGGGCTGAGTATCTCAAGTGTTTGGGGGGGTGAGAAAGGCAGGGGTTCCTCTCAGGCCACCAAGGCTGAAGTGCTCCCACGCGGCTGATACACCGCCAGCGTGTCCTTCTCGCCGGCCCGCGCCACCTGTGCGCTCCGTCACCAACACTCTGGGTTAACTAGCTCTGGCAGATTGCAAGATATGCATAAGAATCTTGGACATTACAAGAATCTACCGCGGGTGTGTTGTTATTGACGGGGTTTTGGGTTTGGGGGCACTCTTGTGCAGCAAGCAGTATCACAAACTGGTGCAGGCAGCAACTCATTTAGAAACCAGCGATGGAAGTTCGATCACAAGACTGCAATATTTGTGCTGGGCGCAGAGCTGGGCAAGGTGAGGACAAGTTTTCAAGCGTGCAGGAGAAGAATTGGAGAGCCAGCAGCGAAGCAGCTGAGCTAAACACGGGCGACGAGGGGCCTCAGTTCGTGGCTGCAGGCGGCGGAAGGCCTGGGAACTTGGCGGACACCTCTCCTGCGGACAAGTGTGGGCTCTCAGAGTTGCTGAGCTTTTGGAGTTTGATTTGGCTTACAGCAGAGCTTGGGAGTATGAGTTGGGTTTTCGTTGGGGCTGATATGGGCGGCTGTTGCGGGTTGATAGGCCAGTGTTCTGGGGCTGTTCTGGGGCTCCGTAAAGGCATGATCAAGGAGGGCGTGCATCCAACTTCATGAGCATCTCGTAGGATTTGGTAAGCCCACACATCACCCTTCAGAACAGGTTGTCACGGGCGATTTGCAAAGACTCTTACGTGCAGACGGTAACTCGCAACGGTGAAAAGCACACAAAAAACCCCGGGCCCGAGATCTGCAAGACAAAGTAGGCGCATGTAGGTGAGTAAAGATGCACGAACAGATGGAAGCGTCACTTGTGCCAAACCTGTTTAGACATAGCTTCGAACCATGCATCTTGCGACTGTTGCAACTTGAAGGTCAGCACCTGTGAGTGCTGGACAGCAAGAACTCAAAGGTTCGGGTTCGTTTCTGCCTCTAAACCCCCCCCGACTCCCAATAATATGCCTTGTACCGAACTACAACTACCTAACAATCCATTGAAAAACACATAATGAACAAGAATGGTCATGGTGCTGTGACAAGTGCCGCTGGTCCTTGATTCCATTCGCACAGCACTCCTTGCCAGCAGCGCTGCGCCAGTTGGGTGTGGCGTGGAGTTTTGGGCTATGTTCAGGCTAACAAAATCCAATCCCAAATGTCTGAACTTGTGCAAGTCAAGATGCTTTTTTCGGGGTGACACGAAATATTGCCCGCAAACCAAAAGAAACTGCTCCAGTTCATAACTTTTTAACAGTGCTGTTGTGAACAAGCTTTTTGGGGTCAAGGGACTCAAGGTGTCCCGAGCACGACGACCCAGGAGCAAACTCAGGATGCGCCTCCCATCGGTAGTGGGTATGGTGACCCCAGCAGCTGTCTGACACCTCCTCAGGGCACTTCAGGGATTTCCTCCAGACGGAGCTTCATGCTCCCAGGGTCCCGGCGCAGCAACAGAACTCATACTCTTCCGAGCTGACAAAGGCGCAAGGACCTCCGTGACTTACACATCTTAGGCTCGCTACGTGTACTGCGGACGCGAAAGGCCATTGCAAGCAGAAAGCAGTGCCAAAACACAATGGAACGAAGAGCTTCGGCAACACCCCTACAGTGCTCGTGGCAACCAGAACGACTCTGTGAAATCCTGACGGAAAGCGCTAAGCTGAAATAGAGCCACCCCAAAGCAAAAAGCCGGCCCATCGGTTTATCCAAGGCCCGAGTCCAGGGTTCCCGGCCGTATTGGAAGGCAATGCTTTCAACCTGCCCCCGAGCTGCCCCGCGATGGGAAATGCAACAGGAACACCTTCGGAACACGACGATGACCTTCCGAGACGCCCCCAGCTGGCCCACACCTCGGAAAGCAGCGGCGCGACGGCCAAGAGCAGCGTCATGGCCCGGCATCGGAACCAAGCTGTGGCTATGATCTTTGGGCCCTCAGGCTTCTTGGAGTTGAGGCTTGAGAAGAGGCATATGAAAGGGTTTGGGAACTTGCCTCATGGGCATGCAAGGGTGCAGCTACAAGCAAGGCGTGCGCTTGCTCCTGTGCTCGCTCTTACTACTACAAACGCGGAAGCTTGACCCAGGGGTCCAGACCCCTTCGCGGTACGGAGCCATATATAAATATATGCCTCCTTTCCCAGGAGATCTACCATTTATCTACATACTTTTACTATCCAGAATCCCTACCGATCTAGTCCCTCGTGCGATCCTAAATCAAACCGAAACAGGCAATTAGGCATAATGTTTAAACCCTACAGGGCTAACCCAGATAGGTTTTTGCAATGCCCTAAACCTTAAACTCTGAACCTTTAACCCCTATAGGGTTAAAACCCTATAGGGCTACCCCGAGTAGGGTAGTCAAACCCTGAAAAATCCTAAACCTTTAAACCCTAGAGGCTTAAAGGTCTTGAACCTCAACCTTTAGGACGTATAGCGTTCAAAGGTAAGCTATTCGGTTTAAATACCTAACCCTACAGAAAAATATGGATTACGGCTTAAACCAGTTTGAATGCCCAAACCTAGGGTTCAATCCCCAGACCTGAAACCTTTAAAATCCTTGTAGGGTTTAAAGGTTTTGATGCCTAAGCCTGATGTACCTAAGGTCTGGGCAATTGTACCTTCAGCCTTATAACCCGGCTTAAGGAAAACAGTAAAGGGGTTAAATCCCTGAGAGTCTAGGGTTGCGTTTTAGCAATGCCCTAAACCTTAAACCCTGAACCTTAAACCCCTGTAGGGTTAAAACCCTATAGGGCTAACCCCGATAGGGTAGATAAACACTTGAAAAGCCCTGAGCCTTTAAACCCTCTAGGGCTTAAAGGTTTCGAGCTTAAACCTGTGAACCGATAGCATTTAAATGTAGCCTATTCGGTTTAGCTGCCTAACCCTAAAGAAGCCCTATAGGGTTTAAGGCTTAAACCCAGTTGGAATGCCCAAACCTAGGTTTAAGTTCCCAAACCTTAAACCTTCAAAAGCCTTAAAGGGTTAAAAGGTTTCATAATGCCCAAATCCAGGTACCTAAGGTCCGTGTATACCTTCAGCGCCTATGGGGATAACATCTTTGAACCTTTTAGACCCCTAAAGGGTTCAGGGTTCATGCTTTAATGCCTAAACCTTGAATTCTTGAGGTTTAAACTATATGGGCGTAGCTTTAAATGCCTAAATCTTGAACCCTAAGCCTTGAAATCTTAACCCTATGGGGTGTAAAGGTTGAGAGCTTAGGCTGAATTGCCGGCTTAAGTTCGCATGCCTAAATCGAAAAGACCTTAACCTTTAAAACCGTATGGGGTCCAAAGGTTAAGGGTTTAGGTCTATTTGCGGGTTTAGATTCAGATGCCTCAACCCGAAGCCCTAAACCTTCAAACCTTAACCCTATGGGTTCTGTGAGTTCTGACCTTCAATCCAGAGTTTGGAACTTCAAGACTCAGGGATCCAAGATTCAAGATTCAAGATTCCAGGAAAAAGCTTCCATGGGAAAATGTCCAAACCCGGCCGATTGAATTCAATCGGAAACGATTGAATTCAATCGGCCGGGATCCAAGATCCAACATCCAAGATCCGAGATTTCCCAGGTCTCTTGCCTAGTCATCTTGGAAGCTCAAATCTTGGATCCGGGCCGATTCAATTGAAACCGATCGGCCGGGAGTTCCAAGATGACTCGGGGCAAGAGTCCTGGGAAATCTTGGATATTGGATCCCGGCCGATTGAATTTGAGATTCCAACACGTCTCGGTAAGATGGCGGGGGCATTTTCATTGTGAGGCAGATGCAATTTCATTATGAGGCAGAAGGCTTTTATTTAATTGTGACATTTCACTATGAAGCAGACGGAATTTATTTCATTGCTAACAAAGATGGTAAAACGGTAGATCTTTGAGGGGGGGTACCATGTATATATATATATATATATATAAATACAAATATAAATATAAATATAAATATAAATATAAATATAAATATGAATATGAATATACATATACATATAAATATAAATATAAGTATGAATATACATATATATTAATATTAATATATTAATATTAATATATTAATATTAATATTCATATTAATATTCATATTAATATTAATATTATTATTAATATTAATATTAATATTAATATTAATATTAATATTAATATTGATATTAATATTAATATTTATATTTATATACATATATACATATACATATACATATACATATACATATACATATACATATACATATACATATACATATACATATACATATACATATACATATACATATACATATACATATACATATATATTTAAATTTATATTTGTATTTATTTATCTGTAAACAGGCTACCCAAACAAAGCCCATAGCGAACCCCCGGTATGGGGCTTTGCCACCGCAGGTATGAGAAGCCCAAGCGTTGCCTCAGAGCACCACCGTGAGATCTTTTGCTTCATGATCGGTTCGCATGGGAACTGAACCGTACAAACTCAGTGCACAAAGAACGGAGACCGAAGAGCCCTTCGATTCGTCAAGTTCCCAATCCTCATCCTTACTATCTTTTCTATCTTAGCTACTTTTGCTCGGCCCTACACTTTGCAGCCCTGAACGTTGATGCCCAAAAGAGCCCTCAAACCCTCCAACCTTGAAGCTCCAGAACGCATCACTTCACCCAAGGAGCGCACGCACCTGAACCGTGTAACCCCAAGCCCTCGCTCCACCTCTCAAGGTGCCGTGTCCTGGACTCCCGATCTTCAGTCACGGCTTAGGATTGTGAGGCTTCGGGCGGCTCCTGCAAACCGTTTTGGAGGCCCGGCATCGACCAGCGCAGGCCAAAATCAGGCCTGCTGCACGGCTGCCTCCCATTGCCATAATCATTTCGTTGCTCAGTGCACCTGACCTTGTGAAGATTCACAAGGTGCATGGCACGTGCAGACTCAGAGTCCACGTAGTATCTGACACTCCCGGGCCTCAGTCTTACCCACTCGGCGTTCTGGGACATGAACCGCCACGGGTTGACCAAATTATAGTACTGAGACTCACAAGTTCTCGGGCGCCAAATGTGAGATGAGAACGACCACCTTGGTCCTGACTGCAAGCGGTGCAAATATGAAGGCACCGCAAACTCACAGACGCCAAGAGAAATGGTGCCGACAGCCTGCCAAAAGCCCGGTGAGCGACTCTTCACAAACTCTGGCCAGGGACTGGGCATGGGAGCTTCGGGCATGTACTCCAGGCAGCATCTCGAAAATGTCCGCGAGCCCTCCCAGCATGAGGTCTTGCCGTGAGAATGGATTCTGCCTGTTGTATTTGGGCCTGTGCCAGAGCAGCAGGTTGAAGTGGTTTCCGCATCCTTCCAACATCCGTGGAAAAGCTGGCGTGCTTGGACCAAAAGCCAGAAAAACGTCCATGGCACCTATCAGTACAAAGTCTGCGCTGCCACGCATATTCAGAACACAATGATTCAACGTCAGCTCTTGCATGAAGCCACCCTTGGAACCTGTGGATCCAACAAGCATGTCTGAGTTCCAAGCATCGTGCAGAAGCTCCGACACCGCCTTCATGAAGCGAGGGAAATACTTCAGCTTGCCCGTCGCAAGCAAAGCGACGACCTCAGGGTGGCTAGCGAAGGAGCCGTCCAAGTCGTAGAAGGTAAAGCTGTCCGCGCCGAGCAGTTGGTAGTAGCGCAGGAATGTCCGAATCAGATGTGGCACACTTCTTTCCAAATCCATCATGTCCCAGGCGGGCTGGATGCAAATTCCCAAACGCGCTGCAATGCCTGCGGCATGTGAGGCAGCGCCGAGCTCGTCATCTGCAGAGCCTGGCTTCAGGCAGACATCTACCGCAATTCGCCAAGCCTCAGCACCTGCATAAGGTGGATCGGCCTGAAGCTCAACAATTAGTGGGCTCTCGAGGGACAGGGAGACGTCTGACGGAAGCGGGCATCTGATTGTGGCGGCTTGCCGAAAGAAGCTTACGGCATAAGCATCTACCCTCCGCTTCTTGCTGGTCGGAAAGAGGCACCACCACTTTCTCATCGACACTTCAGGCAGCATGGCTGCATGCGGACCGCAGGTGTAGACGGTCCGATTCTTGTCCCAACAACGTCCCCGATGGAGGCATTCACCACGAGGTTTCTCAGCATAAACCAAGAAATCCATAAGATTCGGCTGATCAGACAAGTGCATCTCAGAGTCAATGCTGATCGGCAAGCCTGTAGCTACCGTGACCACGGCAAGACGGGCACCGTCACGCTGGCTGGCTAAGACCAGCCGAGTCTCCATCGACAGCTGCATTACACCTCCTGCAGCAAAACTTCGAAGCTGGCGCTGCTGCTTTGCGGTGACACACAGCTCGACTAGCCTTAACCGCTGAAGATTTCGATCTGCTGGTGGGGGTGGCGGCGCAATCCTGGGGAAAGGAAGCAAGTATGGCTCCCTTCCAGCTGCTTCGGCCATGGCAATGTGAAGCGGGCCCCAATAGTGCAGACCGAGGGTCAAAATCCAGGAAAGCGGTTTCGACGGCTGGCCTTTATTGAAAAGTTGGCGGTGTATCAAGCAAGTCATGAGCTGCTCCAACATGTGGCGCCACAGGCTGCTGCTACGGCCGCTGTTTGACGTGTTGACGGCCGAATTCCGTTCGAAGGGTCGGCAAGGGCGCAGTGCACTCCCCAACCGTCTCATCTCTCGACGGCGCTGGAAAGTGAGCAGAGCACTAAACCATTGCAGCATGCCAAAGAGGCTGACGACACCATATTCAACCCTGCTTGCCACCAACACCGAGTTTATCTGGTCCAACACTTCAAAAGATCTTCGTACGCGCGGAGAGCTTTCATCCACAAACTCTTCGAAAATGTTTAGGTTCAGGTGTTTGACCATTCCCCAAGCATTCTCTCCCACCACATGAACGAGACGTGTAAAGGTGTGCATCATGCCGGACAAAAGCACGCATTCGGCGGCGCTCGCAGCTCCAATATCAACATCACCAAGCGTGTGTAATGTGTAAGAAACATAGTCCCAATGCGCGGTCCGGATCCATGGCAGATGCCAAGCTGGCTTGCTGGCGGTTGTTGAGATGATAATTTCAGGCGCAAACGATGTCACCAAATTCTCCCACGTGGAAATGAGGCGGCAGCCACAACTTTGTTTGGCCTTTTGCGACGACCAGGCCATCCTGGATGGCGCATCGCTGCACAAATCGATGATTGTCACTTCCGAGCCTCTTGCAGTGTCCTGACTGACACAAAGCTGCACTGACCACACGATCCATAGATGCCTTGGAGCGACATTCATCACAGAGGAAACACACAGTCAGAGTTGCTCGTGCCCATGATCTTTTTCCTCCCAATAGAAGGAGATGCCATGTGCCTAGAAGACGATTTTGCCAATGCCGACAACACAACCACACAATCTCCGTTTGTGGTGGCCAATCCTTTGAAAATCTACTAAAAAGCCAATGGCTGCTGTCACTCGGACCATTGCAACTTCTTCACATTTTTCAAAAACATTTCGTCGTCCGGAACAACATTTGGCTTGCCCCGAAATATCCCTCACAAGTCTTTTGCATGAAACGATCCCTTGGGAGTCAAGCATCAACAGTGTTCGAAAGTAGTCAGAGCCAAACGCTCGTGACACGCTGGGTCCCATCAAAACCAGGATCCTACAATACGACAAGCGAGTCCAGCTGAATTGCTGTAGATTACTGCCATCCCACCAAATCCTTTGCGGGGAGCCTCATATCTAGAAAACGCCATTTCGTCTACTTCAAAGCCAGTGTTTTGGCCCTTGAACCTGCTGCGGGCTCAGTTGACGCCCCAGAATCCCGGCTCGATTCCTCAGCCGCTCCCGCTGCAGCAAGGGTGCCAGCGAAAGGTGGTGGTCTAGGGCTTAGGGTGTGGAATCCTTTGGACACAATTCCCGCATACCAAACCAGGTGCAGTTGCAACACCGCACGCGAATGATCCTCCAGAGAGCAGACTCAAGCTGCAGATCGCAGCGGCAACATGTTTCAACTGAACATGCGCAAGCTGCAACAAAGCCAGAACTGAAGTTCAGGCTCAAACCTACACCACGCCCCAAACCCACAATCCCAGCTCATGTTTTGTCCCAAAACCATCCTAAACACCAACCCGCTGGTCAGCAGACAGTGTTTACAGGCACGGATTTCCTTATCGCGTCTTGCTCATGTTTTCGATGCTCAGCTGCATCCATGATGAGGGCTCGAAGCCGGACCGAAAATTGTTCACATGGACAGAATGCCCTGCAACAAGAGGTGCGCAGAGGACGACTTCAACACCCCCTGCATCGTAGACTCTGCGGCGAAACTGCAAAGCCTCTTCGTCCCAAGAAAGCCTCCCGCACGGAAAACTGCTGCTAGCAGTTCCCAGGGCTTCGTTGATCTTTGCGCGTGCAGCAACGCAGTGAAGTTGCAGCTTGACTTACTGTGTCTTGATCTCGCACGTCAAGGGCGCGGAGGAGCAACCACCAGGATCCAAGTGAATCGGAGGAAACTCTCGAGGAGTTTGCGTCGCGGAACTGGTGCAAAGTTCCCTCTGACATGTGGCATAGGATCCCTGCAGAGTCGTCTGAGTGGCGACGTTGCGCGCCCCGACATCATAAAAATTGTCGCAATTGCCCACGCAGGGTGGCTTTGATATTCTGCGTCCATTTCTCGAGGTTGTCCATGATGACGCCAATCCGATCCAAAATGCCATGCGCACATATATCCCGTGCATTACGCCCGCCCAGACACAATCGGTGGAATCTCAAGGCTCTTAACCTGTTTACAGGCACGGATCTCCTTGTCCCGAGCTCTGAACCTCATCAGCTCGCGAACCTGCATCTTGCTCATGTTTTCGATGATGATGAGAGGCTTCATGTAAAGCGGTTTGCCGTTGGCGCTGCTGCTCTGGCGGCCACACAACATAGCCTGGGAGTACTGTGGATCAGCAACACTTGTTGCACAACTGAAGCCGGCCCGACAATTGTTCACATGGACAGAATGCCCTGCAACAAGAGGTGCGCAAAGGACGACTTCAACAGACAGTTGCATGTGAGGCGTATCTGTGTGGCAGCCGCAGTGTGCGAAACTCTTGGAAAGGGTCAACAGAACGCTTGGTTCCCATGATTTCTGTCCCTCTGCTAGGTTGGTTCAAAGAGGGCAAGTCTTTTGCCGAAGCAACGAGTCAGAGTCTGAAGTCAATCAAAGCAACAGCAAAACAAGAAATACCCCAACCACAAGACCAAACCGACCCAAACCAAGCCGACCGCACGAATGGATGAAACGTCTCCCAGGCGCTTAGAATCGCTTAGAACACGATAAAGTCAAAGTCGTGCACATTGAACAAACACGGGGTCCCCTCAGTCATTCCGATCGCCAGAAAGAAATGCGCAAAACGCGTAGCATTCTATGTACCACAGCGGTTGCTTGCATAATGCCAGGCAGGCAAAAACTCCGTCAATCCTACAGACAAAATTCATTTTGAGGCGGCGCCACAGCGATCTCCCACAAATTGACCAAGCAGGAAAAGCCCAACTGTCCGCGGTTCAACGTCTTCCTCACAAGCCACCAGCGACCCAGCACCATCCGACCGTTGGCACAAGTGCATCCATTGGTGGCACCTCAACCAAGACAGGTGCATGCAATAACCGGTTAGAGGCGGCAAAAGCCCATATGCGCAAGTCCTGCTGGCCTTTAGCTGAGTATACCCCGGGTATTGCAAGCGAATCGCAATCGCTTCGAAAGAGAACTTGCAATGAAAATCTGCAGAGTTCTTTGGCATCACGAATGCTCCAATGCATCCAAACCTGAGCTGCAAACGAAAACCAAAGCACCCCCAATGAAGCATCAACTGTGTGTAACCAATCATCAAACCTCTTAAAGGCAATATCATCTTCCTAGCCAATCAAAACTGTCTTGAGCTGCCACTGCTCACTCAATCGGCATGTGTGACCGTTGTGGTGACGCTCAATCGGCGTCCGGCACTGTCAGCAACGGTAACCTCGGTGGCACCAACGCTGTCACGGCGAACAGCATCTCGTTGACTTGCCAATGTGCTCGGCAATGTCGATCCGGGTCCAGCAGTGCGACCGGCACCCAGAATTGTGAGCTTTGACGGGAGCATACCGGGGAGGCCACGCACAAGCGGACGTGACTTTTGCACACAAAAGCGGACCCAGAATCTGGCCTCGGAACAATTTCCTGCGCAAAGACCCGGAGCACATATGGAAAACCTTCTCCTGCGGAAAAATACAGCAGAAATTCAAGGAAAACCTCCGGAAAGTTCAAAAACTGCACGAAATCCCACGGAAACCCTCACGAAGGCCCTTGAGGAACCTACCAAAACCATCCAATAGGTTTTAACACACGCACGAAATCTAAGGAAACCCACGGAAACCCACGGAAACCCCGCGGAAACCCTCGCGAAACTGTAGGGAAACCCAGGGAAACCCTCCAGAAGCTTAACAAACATGAACGGAAACCCTGCGGAAACCCCTTTATCAGGACTGGATTCACCCTTTGGCAATTTACAAAGTTATTAAAGGACAGGTGCAGGAAACCCGCCACCCAATCACCGCACGCCAATGTCAGTATTATACTACCGGTCGTCCCCTAAAGGGTGAAGGACGCAAGAGGTGTTCTTCTGCTTCTGGCCATCAACCGCAGCGCCGAAGCTGGGGCATGCCTGCCATACGAATCAATGGTCGCTGACCGTCTAAGAAGCACTTCGCGCCTTCAGGCAGAACGTCAAGGTACACATTGGTCTTTCACCAATCGGGTTCAGAAAAAGGAATACAGTCTACGTCTGCCTGGCTTCACCGTCCACGTCACAACTTGCTATAGAACAAGACTGACTTCCTGCCTCAGGGTTCATGTCAGACTCAACCCAAGGACCTGACTGAAGGCATGACTGGTTTCTTTCACCCAAAGCTTTGACCCCGCGCATGGCTGTTGCTACAACCATACACAGCTAGGCCACCAAGCAGCGCACGGATGAGCTTGGACACCTCCGGCCGCGCACCGGCCGGCCGCGCCTGCGCCCCGCAACGAATGCGAAGCCTCTCGCATCGCCAAAGATCGGCCTTGAAGACCTCGGCAACCTCCTCCACTGAGTACTTCGCTGAGCGAGTTGCGGAGGGCTTGCGACACCTTGGAAGCACAAACATGGACCCTACGGACTATGTCTGGGCACTTTTTTCGGCCAACAAATCAGGCTCCGACGTGGCAGACATGGCGCAAGTACGCTAGCTGTGGCCTAGGAGCTGCTTGAGGCAAGAGAGCGCTCAGCGAGCAGCGGCTCAGACGCAATCTGTTGAAGACACATGGCCCGTAGGCGCAAAAATTAGCAAAAGTCTCTGAGAGTCTTGCAGATCTCAAGGCATCTTGAAAAAACAATCCGGCACAAAATCCAGCAAAACAGGTCTACGTGCAAACAAAAGCAAAAGTACATTGCCAAAATAGCAAACAAACACGCAAATCTCCGAAATCTCCTGTAAACAAGGAACAACATTTAGGGCTGCTAAACACAAGCTAAACGACAACCGCATGAAAGTGGCCTCCGCAGTTGCAGCTCCCTTTCTGCTGCAGCATTACAAAAGCAAGCAGCTGCTTCGGACAAGCCCCTGATCCCCAAGCTTATGTTCTGCACGCTGCTCCCCAAGGTTCCTGGAACAAGGGCTGGCGCAGGCACGCTGACGAGACCCAGCTGCGTGAGCCCAGGGCTCAAACTTGCGACCCCAAAAATGGGGCCGTCTCGCGGCCCCAAAAATGGGGCCACGAAATGCACCCAGCTTCCCTTATTATCATGCGTAAATACATGAAAAGGCTGGAACTGCGACCCCAAAATTGGGGCCGCCTGGCGGCCCCAATTTTGGTGTCGCTAAATCTGCATTTTTCGAGCCCCTGCGCTCCCCAGATTGCGACGCTACAGCAACTCTGACCCACAGGCAAGCTCCTAGCGTGGAGATTTTTTTTAAGAACAACGACCCCCCACAGGCAGCTTTCTTGCGGAAGTGATCAACATAATAGAAACGGGCACCGGGGAGGCCACGCACAAGCGGACGTGACTTTTGCACACAAAAGCGGACCCAGAATCTGGCCTCGGAACAATTTCCTGCGCAAAGACCCGGAGCACATATGGAAAACCTTCTCCTGCGGAAAAATACAGCAGAAATTCAAGGAAAACCTCCGGAAAGTTCAAAAACTGCACGAAATCCCACGGAAACCCTCACGAAGGCCCTTGAGGAACCTACCAAAATCATCCAATAGGTTTTAACACACGCACGAAATCTAA